GGTGTGGTTGACCATAGCTTTAAAGCATTTTTTCCTCTCGTTAAAGCATTTTCAAGCTTGCGTCAGACAGGACAGGGCACGCAGGCCAATGTAGATGTATACTGGGTGAGCAATGCTGGTTCCTATAACACAGACCCTCAGAGGCCAGCCCGCGTTGATAAGAACCCTTGCCTTGATAACACTGTCCTTGCGATCAACTACGCGCTCAAACGTCTGGCTCAGGATCTCGAGGTCACGGCAAAGCTCCTGGCTCTTGGCCTGGCGCATCATGGCGCGCCATTGCTGAGTCAGCTTGGTAGAGTTGAGCCGCGTGTTGTTCTCCTCCTTGGCCAGCTTCTCCTGCACGGGCGAGCAAGCGACAAAACACTCGGAGCATTCGGTCGGCCGTTAAATGCATTTAAACGGGACATCTTTATTCAACTGCAGAATCTGAGTTTCTTAACAAGGTCCACAATAATTTAGGGCATAGTCCACTTAGGGAACAGTGCACATTCGACTACCAGTTTGGTCACATTACTAGCATGAATCTTTATTGACATTTGCTTTCAAATATTAATTTAAAGCCTTGATAAGTCTCAAATGGAAGGTTTAGCCAATTTCTTTGTACAGCCACTGGACGAGAAAGTGGCCAGAAAATGGATTATTAAATCTAATATAGAGCTGTGTTATCTCCTTGTATGCGTGGGTTTTCTCTGGATAATACAGTTTCCTCCCGCGTGTCAAGCACTGGTTAGTGATACTCATTAATGACCAACGTCCTTTACTGGCTAAATCATCTCAGGGGGCTCCATGCAGACAAACACGCTTCTGCACACCTTAAGGTACTGCATTAGCATGTCCTCCTTTTTCCGACGGGAATCTTCCTCCGCCAGAAGCTTCTGTTGAGCTTGCAGCAGCTGCTCCTCCTCCGTCAAAAACTTTTTCCGCTTAGCCGGCATCTGTTCAAGATTCGCACAAGACACGTGGAAGTCGCGTAAACGTGCAGCGCTTGCGAAAGACAGTGACGCACGCGATGCAGGAGCGATGCGTCTGTCACACGCTCAAGTGACTTCACCTAGACACAGACTCTCGCGCACATTATCCCTCCTATAAGCCTCCGCGGGAAAGACAAAAACTCCATGAGGGTCCACATCATTGTAGAACAGAGAAAGACAGGCTTTTTGGTGGCAGCATGCATCACGAATGCAATGTCAAATATGACATTCAGAAGCACACAATGTCACGTAAAGTCGGAAGACTTAAAAAAAGAATTATCCTATTATATTTCAACTGTGCTGTTTGCATTATACCATGAGACAAATACATTTCCATTTGAACCTCTCACAGTGAACAGGGCACCACCATCTTGTATCAGAAAAGAGCCCTCAGAGTTGACGTAAGTTAAAATATATTTTTGGAGTTAAGTCAGTGGGCGTCTTGATCAACACTGAGCACACCTTGTATTTGTGACAAGGCTGAGGCCATCTGTTTGAGAGCCCAGCTATGAAAACATATTGATCAGAAACATGGACACTGGCGAGAAAAATGTAATAAAATATGAACAGTGCATGCTTCGGTGGACTTGCACAGACCCATAATAGGAACACACGATTCGACACATACAGTACTACTATTAAACAGCGGGCTTGAGCAGAACATAACGCAAGTAGGGATGATGGTAGATATATGGAAATGGTGACAAAATAGCAGGCAAAAGGGAGAACACACCACCACCATGGATTGGTCACCCTCTTAGTCACTACCACCAACGATAACGATGTTAACCTCGTGGCAACTGAAACACACCAATCGCCCATTACCTTGGAGTCTTTGGATGTGTGACCGAGCAGTTGCGGGTAGCGCGGGTAATGCCCGGGTAACGCTGGTGAAGAGAGGCATTAGTACAGGGGGTTAACACGTGTAAGCGGCAATGCAGGTAAATAGGTTAACAAGAGTAACCATGCAACTCAAGGTGAAATGTAAAGAGGTTGATAATAGTTGGAGGTTATAGGGGTAACGAGGGCACGCCGGTGAGTGGGCTAACGCGGGTAGGGGGCCGAGGCGACACGGGGTAAGGGGGTAACGTTGGTAGAGGAGGTCGCGCGGGTAACGCAAGCGAGGATGTTAACGCGGGGGTAACGAGAGTAACGCAGGTTAACATGGGTAACGAGAGTAACGCAGGTTAACAGGGGTAACGAGAGTAACGCAGGTTACATGGGGTAACGAGAGTAACGCAGGTTAACATGGGGTAACGAGGGTAACGCAGGTTACATGGGGTAACGAGAGTAACGCAGGTTAACATGGGGTAACGAGGGTAACGCAGGTTACATGGGGTAACGAGGGTAACGTAAGTTACCAGGGGTAACGAGAGTAACGTAGGTTACCAGGGGTAACGAGGGTAACGTAGGTTACCAGGGGTAACGAGAGTAACGTAGATTACCAGGGGTAACGAGAGTAACAGGAGTAACGCGAGTAACGCAGGTTACCAGGGGTAACGAGGGTAACACAGGTTACCAGGGGTAACGAGAGTAACGTAATCACCAGGGGTAACGAGAGTAACAGGAGTAACGTGAGTAACGCAGGTTACCAGGGGTAACTAGGGTAACGCAGGTTACCAGGGGTAACGAGGGTAACACAGGTTACCAGGGGTAACGAGGGTAACGCAGGTTACCAGGGGTAACGAGAGTAACGTAGATTACCAGGGGTAACGAGAGTAACAGGAGTAACGCGAGTAACGCGGGTTACCAGGGGTAACTAGGGTAACGCAGGTTACCAGGGGTAACGCGAGTAACGCAGGTTGCCAGGGGTAACGAGGGTAACGCGGGTTACCAGGGGTAACGAGGGTAACGAGGCCTCACCGCTGTATCCGCCCGCGGCCGCCTGGCGCTCAGGGCGTCCTGCGTCTCCTAGCAACGCGAACTCTCGCGAGATCTCAGCGATCGCGTGGGGAGGGGTCGGAGGGAGCCCCGCCTCCTCCCCACGCAATCCCTGAGAGGGGGGCGGGGCCAGGGTGGCGGGGAGGGGTAATCGGAAATCAAATCGCTGTCGAGCGCCTCAACGTCAACGTGGCAACAAGGGGTCAACATCCTCTTGGTTCTTTCGGTAAAGTCACGTCTTTCCGACAGACCTGAGGACGGCTGCTTGCGTTGTGGCCGAAACGTCGGAAGAATTATTTTATTATGTTTTATTTTTATTATTTTATTAATTCCCTTCTACGTGACTTTACCGAAAGAACCAAGAAGATGAATCCCTGCAGTCACGAAAGCTTTAATTCGAAATTTAAGGGGTCAACACTCACCCTCAAGACAACTGGGGTTCATCTGAACGCGGCTTCACCCTCTTGGCATCTCCGTTGCCTTCCCAGCCGCTATCTCCCAATAAGGCCAACGAGAGGGCATTGCCTCTCTCCCATGTGCAGATCATCGGCCACGGTGGCGAGATGCGATAAGCATCGCCAGAAACCCAGGTGCACGTGGGTCCGACCCCAATTCCCGACCCTGGCGCCTGTATATTTTTGTAAGTGTGCACGTCTCTTTCCCAGTTGTGGCCTGGCTTTTCCCTCCACATCTAGAAACGTGCCTGCAGACTGTCTGGCTGCTCTGCATTTCCACGCCACAAGCCACTTTGTTGAGCTATCATTTGTGGCCAGGTTGCTACTGAAAAAGAGCTATTTTATATGTTTCTCAGTGGGCCTTAACTGATAAAATAAAACATTGTTTTAGTTGCTGTCAAACCTACTCCCCGTCCTTTGCCAATATCAGGAGTAAGACCACGAGACCATCAAATATTAAACCGTAACCCATTCACGACTTTCATGATCGCTTTGGAACACTGACAGCATTTCTGAAACTTGGTAGCTTTGATCATGTCATCGTTTCAGATACGTTTATTCCTGAATATTGCAAAAGTGCATTTTATTTATTGTAAATCTCACTGCGTATTGTATAATCCCATATTTTGTGTGAATTACCCTTGTCTTATGCAGCCGCGTGGTGTCAAATATATTCTGTCTCAAGCGTCGACAAGCTGCCCGATGGCCAGTGGCCCATACCGCATGCATTTTTTATGAGTGGTTTGTAATTGCAGCTGAGCGCCTGTAACTCTTACTCTGAAGACCCATGCACTAATTGTAAAAGCCTCCGTGTCGCCTGCTACGGCTGCTAAAACGCAGACGAGGTAGAACAATGACAACAGTACAATCAATATATTTGGTGTATCTAGACCTGTAAATTATTTGCCGGTCTAGATTCAAGGATTTATGATAATTTTTTTATATCCTGTTTTGCTAAGTACGGTGGGGTTAAACCTTTCAGGCATGGCAGCTTTTCAATAACGCGGTGTTGGCAAGGCCCGTGTTTCATGTTGTGTATTCGTGTGGTTTGTGTTGGCAAGGCATGTTTCATGTTGTGTATTCGTGTGGTTTGTGTTGTGGATTGCTAAGTTTGCAATGAAAAAAAATCTAGAAAAGTTCAGCTCCGGTGTTCATTTTTCTCTAAACTTATGAAATAAACGATTGACATGAGTCCGTCTCTTTATTTATACACTGTGCCTATCCTTGTTAAAATTTTCTTCAACAAACAACGACAGAAACATCGTGAAAATTGAGTTTCCGTAGGCCCTGGGCACAGTGCCGACTGTTCCTAATTGGACAATAAGGCCCTCTTGCCAACTCCGCGAATACAATGGAGAGATCCTTGAGTCGAATCCCACGCCTCGCGAAAGCCACAATCCCAAAGCACCTCGCTTTTAAAAATCACCCTCCCCCGGGGCCGGAGATAAAAAAAAAAAAATCTGCCCCAAAAAAAATTCCTCCCCAAAAAAATTCCCCCTTAAAAAATTTCCTCCCCAAAAAATTTCCCTCTAAAAAATTCCCCACCCCCCCCCCCCCAAAAAAAAACAATATCCACCTCCTGTTCGTGGTACTTCACTTCTAGGAAGGAGCGTGACGACATATGGGAAGCTTCGTGAGCATGCAAAACATTCTCAACGCACGGGGGCGGTAAGGATGAACGCATTGAGTTCCCGTGCACTGCTGTGATTTGCTGCATTTTTCCTCTCGATTTCTCAGTTGTCCTCCACGCGAAGTTGTGGTGCCAGTTCTTCAGAACTGAAAACTAATTTCTTTAGAACATTTGTGTGTGTGTGTGTTTAGTGTGTTGTCCTTCCCCCCGGCACCTCCCGATTAGCACGATTGGTTACGCACGGTGCGAACGAGGTTCAGCGTCTTCACTCTCCAAACTTTGCTGAAAGCCATGTCGAGCCTTGCGAACACGGCGCTCTGCAGAAGCACCCCGTGGCTGCCGCTGCTTCTGCTGCTGCTGCTGTTGCCTGCAATTGCTCCAGGTGAGTGAGGACCGCGTTCGCACACGGGGAGATGAACACCACCCCGGGGAGAGAGGTAGAGTCTGCGTTCAACTCTAGAGACTTCCCCAGGGGCTACCAACCACCATAATTCTGTCTGGGTGCTCCTTGCCCTGGAAATACTTTTATGCAAGAGGCGGCCATAGCGCGAGGTTTATTTTCTTACAAGTAGTTTACATTGATGACTAATTTTATTTCTCTAGATTTTTTTTATTTCTTCACAAGTTGTACGCATTCTGAGTAAGCTCGCTAATTAGTACATTGCTACGTGGGTGTTGTTTTAATTAAACTTGTTTTGTCGTGAAGAAGTGAAGTTGATTTTGTTTGCTTTGTTGCTTTGCTTTTTGAATGCCTCTCACCCCCTGTTGTCTCCACAATCCTACAATGCGTCCGAGAATCTCGCTGACATCCCCCTCCCTCATCCCCCTCCTCATCCTCCTCTAGCCGTTGACTACACAGTTGATCATCATCGATTCATTATCCGGCGGTTTCCAACATTATCCGGCGGTCACGGGCCGATCCGTCGAAAGCAGCAAAACCAAAGGCTCTTAAATCAGTCCGGCGATCGGCATGCACACAACACACGTGTGCGTGCCGAGAAAGAAAGTCGCTATGCTTTGCCGTTTGAATGCCTCTCGCCCCCCTTGTCCTCAAAACCCTCTAATCGAGTGGATCTTACCCTAGGGGTGCGAGATGCCCTTTGTGGGGGTGCGAGACATGGGCAGATTTTTTTGGAGAAGGTAAATCATCTAAACACAAATAAAAATACGGGCACGCAAGTTACAACTTACTTTGTTTCACCAAACCTCATGTATTTACCGTATGAACATTATTTAAAAACATGTTTGCGATTGAGAACCAACTGGGTGCAAGGCTGCAGTCAAGGTTAAGAACGACTGCTCGAATGCGTCAGAGACTTTAGGGACTGCCTCACTCTCTCTCCCTTTCATCCTCCTCAGCCGAGGGACCACACACGTTCTGCGAAACATGTTCGCTCATCCCAAAGACAAATTCGCTGCCCGTGTCGGGGTCACGATGGGGTCCCCCCCCCCCCCCCCCCCCATCGGCTGAGACTCGATCCGCCAAAACGGGGTGGCTTCGCGTGGCTTTATTGCAAGGTCCCGCGGGGCCAATTTCCGGCCTCTGGTGGCCTCCAGTGCGGCCCCTCACGTGCCCCCCCCCCCCCCATGATAATTCACAATCAGTGAAAACAATCCCCCGCATCATAATCATCATCGTCGTCTTCGTGCTGCTATCCCAAACCCAACAATGGTTTCAAATGTGTGACGGCCTCTGATATCTTATCGGCGAAAAGTCAGCATAGGTCAACCGAGTCGCCTTAGAAGAAATTATTCGATTCTTAGCTTCTCCCATCGTGCTGGGATTTTGTAGGATGCACGTTGAGATGGATAAGGGGCACGGGGTGACCACTAAGGTCTAGACTGGTCTGTAACAAGGTAGGGGGCACTGGGAAGGGTTGACAGCTTTGTGAATCTCACCCAGGGGTCGGCCAACGTCGCGGCTCTGGAGCTGCATGCTGCTTTTTGGCGTCCCCCTTGCGGATAGCCGTTACACACAAAAACACGTGAATCTTAAACATAATTAAACGTAAAGATGATGTATTAAATGTGGCATGGAATAGGTGTCTTGGTGACGACTAAATGTACAACAGTCGAACTGTATTGTTGAAGAATAACTAAAGGGGGGAAATAACCTAAATTAACGCAGTTTTATTCTATCACATATTTTGTTCAAGTCAGATTGTGTGTTGTGTTGTCGTCTGCCGTATACCCGCTGCTATGTTTGTGTACAAGTAGCTGGGCGTGTGGTGCGGCTGTCCGATCTTGTTTGGTCAAAGACGAAAACAAACTACAATGGCTCCTACTCTTCTACTTTGAAATGCTGCCCAACCACGTGATGGACCCACCTCTCCAATGCTGTTCTAGATTTGAAGCTTTCGTGACTGCAAGGATTAATACTCTTAGTTTTTTCCGGTAAAGTCACGTAGGTAAAAATAAATAATAAAATAAAAATTATTGAAATTAAAAAATAAATCACGACGTTTCGGAGACAACACAAGTCTCCGTCATCAGGTGGGACCGTCACAGCTAGATTTACTGTATCAAGCGAGGCAAAAATTATTACCTTGTTATCGCGGCATCTCTTGAGGAAGGCCAGCGTCTCGAGAAGCTGACTTCTTGTCTCGGTGTCTGTTAAAAACTCTAACAGATAGGTGCAATTCCTCCCCGTAGATGGTATTATGCTGCCCAACCATCTGATGGAACCCAACTCCCCCATGCTGCCCAACCATCTGATGGGACCCAAGTCTCCCATGCTGCCCAACCACGTGATGGAACCCAACTCCCCCATGCTGCCAAATCAGCTGATGGAACCCAACTCCCCCATGCTGCCCAACCATCTGATGGAACCCAACTCCCCCATGCTGCCCAACCAGCTGATGGAACCCAACTCCCCAATGCTGCCCAACCATCTGATGGAACCCAACTCCCCCATGCTGCCCAACCATCTGATGGAACCCAACTCCCCCATGCTGCCCAACCATCTGATGGAACCCAACTCCCCCATGCTGCCCAACCACGTGATGGAACCCAACTGCCCCATGCTGCCCAACCATCTGATGGAACCTAACTCCCCCATGCTGCCCAACCACGTTATGGAACCCAACTCCCCATGCTGCCCAACCATCTGATGGACCCAACTCCCCCATACTGCCCAACCATATGATGGAACCCAACTCCCCCATGCTGCCAAATCAGCTGATGGGACCCAACTCTCCAATGCTGCCCAACCAGCTGATGGAACCCAACTCCCCCATGCTGCCAAATCAGCTGATGGGACCCAACTCTCCAATGCTGCCCAACCATCTGATGGAACCCAACTCCCCCATGCTGCCCAACCACGTGATAGAACCCAACTCCCCCATGCTGCCCAACCATCTGATTGACCCAACTCCCCCATGCTGCCCAACCAGCTGATGGAACCCAACTCCCCCATGCTGCCCAACCACGTGATGGAACCCAACTCCCCATGCTGCCCAACCATCTGATTGACCCAACTCCCCCATGCTGCCCAACCATCTGATGGAACCCAACTCCCCCATGCTGCCCAACCACGTGATGGAACCCAACTCCCCATGCTGCCCAACCATCTGATTGACCCAACTCCCCCATGCTGCCCAACCAGCTGATGGAACCCAACTCCCCCATGCTGCCCAACCACGTGATGGAACCCAACTTCCCATGCTGCCCAACCATCTGATGGACCCAACTCCCCCATGCTGCCAAATCAGCTGATGGAACCCAATTCACCCATTCTGCCCAACCATCTGATGGGATTGCTAACTCGCTCCAAAGTCCCCTCTGCCGTCGCTTCTCGTGCAAGCGGCCACTGCTGCGATACCTTTCCTCACTCAGAGAGACCTCCGCGTGTTCTTGCCGCCCCGTCACCAAACGTCAAGAGGCCTGACAGTTTATTTAACAAAGGAGAAACACGTGTTTTTTGTTGTTGTTCCCTTCGCTTGATACCAACGGAAAACGTGTGCGGTGTTTTGTTTCACAGCGTTTGCTCAAGTTCCCAGCAGTAAGTATACATGCGCCTTGGACATATGGTTCGGCGAACAAGAAGTTTTTAAGGCAACGGTAAGCATCGATCGATGTTTATTTCACGTGTCAGTATCGTCCCTCAATAAAGTGGGCATCGGTGCACATCACAACGGAACGGGAGCGGTACGGGGCTGGAGGGGGGACCAGAGCGACAGGGATGATAGCAGAGCGCCGCCACGAACCTCGGCCACTAACACCGACTGAGCACCACTTCGCTGTCTCATGCGACGAACAGCACGAGACGGTGTGACAAAAATAAGAACAGGTTTTGCCCTTTTCTGGCAATAAAACAGGAGTTGTGTTGAGATTTTCAAACACCAAATAGAAACCTTTTGCAAGGAACCAAGTTCGTACTAAGCACACGCAGTGCTTGTGGTGAACATGTAAACAAACACGCTCTGATTATAATTATAATATTTATATAATTATAATCTGTGCATTGTCTTTGAACAGAGACAGCAGCAGCCTTCTTTATGGCCTCGTCTCACCACCAGTGGCACACCAGATAACATCAAATGGCAATGCATGTAACATTATAGTTACATTATTGTTTGAGACAATGAATATATTATCAGATCATGTTTTGTTTGCATGGTCACCACGAGTGCAGAGAGCAAGTAAGATATCTCGATTAACTCTCCACAACGGAGAACTTTACATTTAAAATTAAATGTGATCTCAGTAGTGCACTCTCAAAATGCACTAATGCGCGTCTGTAAAAGTAGTAAACTGTGTGTCTGTATGTCTCCTTCTTTCAGATTGGCATCCCTGTGAATCCATCAATCCTTTGTCGTGGAAGTCAAATAACACAAATTATCAAGGATGTTCAGATGACATGCAACCCTGGTGCTGCACATGGAAACTCACTTATTAAAATGGAACAAAATCCAGAGAGCCTGGACTATTTAAAATATAAATTGGATTGTGGCAAACGATTAGAAGATTCCGAACTGAATTATGCAGATATGTTTGGTAAGTCAATTTAAATGGCATTTCAAGTTCACAAGATTGTCGCTTGTCACTGGCACCTTTTATCATTGCCATCAAATCACAACCCATCACGTTAAAAGTACAGACCTTTAAAAGGGGTGGATTCTATACATTATTTTACGTATGTATATGTATATTGAACTTCCTCCGCACCGTACGTAGACAACCGAGCTAATCGGAGGTGCGGGGGAAGGACAACAAACTAAACACAAAAAGCAGTTCTCAAGAAAATATTTTTTATTTAGATTTAAAGTGCATAGCTCCAGTGGCTTCGCAATATCGGAAAGAAGAGCGTTCCAGACGGCCGCAGAAGTGCATCTGAAAGTGCGCGATTTAATAGTCATCTTTGTTTGATGTTTAGCCAAAAGCTGCTGCAAGGATGACCTGAGTTTGTGTGATGGTTAATGAGACCAGCAAGGTATTGCGGTTCATTCATGGCAAGCACTTTGTGTGTAATGAGTGTAACCTTAAAATGTTATTCGTTCGGCAATCGGAAACCAATGCAGCCCTCGGTGAGCACATGGTCGGATATTGCAGTAACTGTCACGACGCGTACAATTGCAGTGGTGGCTGTACAAGCAGAACTACAAATGTAGCAGATAAACCTCGTTTCAGCACCTCACCAGCACTGATGCAAGTGATTACACCGTGTGTATGAAGTGTAGTTTAGTTGAAGGTTTCGGCCCAGTCAAAAGCTTCACGGTGGTGAGATGTTAACTGCCTCGCCTGATATGCAGGAGGTCGTTTGTTCGATTCCGACCCTGACGCCTGTTTATTTGGAGTTTGCGTGTTCTCACCGCAGTCACGTGGATTTTTCTCCGTGTCCTCCGGTTTTTCCTTCCACATTTAGAAACATGCTTTCAGAGTATTTAGCTGATATACATTTTCACGCGATAAGCCACTTCGTTGAGCTATCATTTATGGCCAGGTCGCTCATGAAAAATAGCTGTGGAGCTCAGTGAGCCTTACCACTGCATTGGCAGTGGTGCACAAGCCAAACTCAACACATTCATCAATGACACCGTGGCCTTAACTAAAAGGAAGACATAGATAACGGGCGATGTTTCAAGAAATGTACCATGAGGAAGGGCCATTGCTTGAAACGGTGACTATTCTACGTTTTCCTTTTAAGGCCACACAGTGGCATTGGCGAATGTGTTGCGGGTTTGTTGTTGTTGCCAAATGTAAGGATGTTCTGCAGATTAAAAAAATTGCAACTTAATATGGATTGGGTACAAGATGCGGGGTAGTGACACACCATTAATTCTAGATTTGAAGCTTTCGTGACTGCAAGGATTCATACTCTTAGGTTTTTTCGGTAAATTCACGTAGGTTAAAAATAAAATTAAAAATGAATAAAAGTAATAATATATATTTTATTATTCATTTCTATTATTACTTTTATTAATTTTATTTTTTACCTACGTGACTTTACCGAAAAAACCTCAGAGTATGACACACCATCAGCCTAGCGAAGGTCTAACTGAGCCCTTCAATCATTATGTCTGCTGCATGGTACAAATTATTAAGAAAAAATATTATATTTTCTTACCAGGTAAGGTCCACTGAGTTACACAGCTATTTTCCATGAGCGACCTGGCCACAAATGAGAGCTGAACGAAGTGGATTAATCACGTGGACATTCTATAGCAGCCAAATTATCTAAACGCACGTTTCTAAATGTGGAAGGAAAAACCGGAGGACTCGGAGAAAAATCCACGCGAATCACGGGGAGAGAGACATGCAAGCTCCAAATATACGGCAGCAGGCATCAGGGTCGAGATTGAACCCACGACCTCCTGTATAGCAGGCGAGGTAGTTAACATCTCGTCACCTTACCGCCTTAAAATCAGGGTGGGAATCATGCATGCACGTCGCAGCCTCCTAAGAAGGCTGCGGGGGGGGGGGGGGCAACTGACGAGTCGAGTTGGGCTCGTCTCGCTGGGACCTCTAACGTGGCAAGTTCTGCTCGATTTGGTACTGGTCATCGGGTGCTGCAGTGCAAACATGTGCTGCTATAAATTTTTTTGAAGGAACTTGTCAAAAATAATTTGAAGCCAAAAAAACACGGAAGTTGCATTCAATGTGGTACTTTGCAATTTTTTTAAAATCTCCAGTGCTCTCCACAACACCGCTGATGAGTAATCCACGCGATGTGCACTGTGACTACCACTTGCACGTGTGCCACGGTGAAGAAGAAATGTCGTGGGATTTTTACGTGAGTACCGAACTGTATGGATGGCAATACATTTTCAATCAATGCTTCTCAATATCAAATGCCTCTCATCCTTCTTCAATCCACAACCACACCAAGACAAGAGTCTAAACTATTACAACTGCAGCACTCGTTTTTTCAAGCTGATCAAAAAAACGACACCGTTTAATCGTTCCTCCGTGGGCCATATGAGCGGTAGAAAGCTGTAATTGAATTTGAGACGGGAGAAGCGACGATTAAGCTGACAAGTGGCTGCTGGGTTTGTGAAAATATCAGTGGATTAGTTCTCCCAATTCATCCAAAACCTGGGGAAGGCAACATTCCCTCCACACGGTTGAATTCCCCACAGCAGAATAAGCTGCGATGTCTGCTGCACGAGAAAAGCGGACATTGCTTGGAAATCCATGTTCTGCATTTCTGCATGCAAAGGCACGGAAGAACACCCACACAATTCGGCATGGGGGGAGGGGAGGTGAGGTCATTCCACACGATTCGCGGTGCAACCCCACACACCAAGACCATCTAACATAAATCTGTTTCCTGCTTTGAGCTCGTAAAATATGGTCTGCTCCGGCAGAAATGCGCGGACAGATTGTTCCCCGCTTGAACCCCATTGACGCAGCTTCTGCATTGTGAATGCAGCTGCACAGACACATGCACAGTCGCAGTATAACTACACAGGGCGCTTTGGTGGCTTCGCTGCACCGCCACTTCTGCTTTAGGACTGGGTGCCATCTGTGGAGCGAAGAGTAAATTATTAACATCATGAAATGGGCAAATATATGCCCCTGTGGAAGTTCCCACAGTCTGAACGTTTTATAGTGGAATCCATGAATTCAAGGCCTCTGTTAACATGGAATGTGTTTTTGTATTTTGGCCAGAACTTACATTTAGGAGGGAACCCCCACAATGGCATTACGCAGCCTGGCAGTTAATGGCAGCCCCGGGGGATCTATGTAAGAAGTGGCTGGTGGGTGTTTACCCCACTGTGACCCCAACCGGGAGGCAGGGCTCTGTAATTAGACAATAGATATCAGTGTACAAATTGCGACCTCAAATTGGTGCCGCTATGCTCATCACTGAATTTTTGCACCTTTGCATTTCTCTTCACAAACGGAGTCTTTGACTGGAATTCATGAATGTTTGTGTTGGATGCTGAGTGTGTGGACAAGCATTATAGTCCAGGCTGTTTAAAAACATTTACGTTTCATTGTTGCAGTGCTACAGCAGCATACTGTGTGATCTCAGTCGTGCTCACTCAAAAGGGTTCTGCACCTCCGATTAGCACGGTTGGCTATGTACGGTGCGAAAGAAGTTCAATATACATGCATATTGTTTATGGGTTGTGCACACTTGCTTTGATTTTGCTATTTAAGTTAAATATAAAAGTTAAATATAAAAGTTAAATATAATTGTAATCTATTCATTTGTGTTCCCGAAATGTTAATTTTAATCAGGAAAATTACTACTCAATGTCTACTTTGTCGCGCAGTGTTTATTTATTATTAATCTTACCCCAATTGATTTTGTTTTATTATCAATGCATGAGGTTATCCGCATTCACAAAGTGGCAACGCATTTTCATCATTGCACAATTGTGAGTGACGTTCCTAACATTTTATTTTGCAGGTTGCATTGTCACGTTTGAAACTACAATTATTGTGCAATGTTATGTTACAACCATCCGTGACCAGATATTGTGACAATGAAGAAAATCCAACCAAGCTAAACATGACTTACAAGAATCCAGATATGTATATTTGCGGATGGAATTTGGTGTGCCCAACAGGTATGGTATTAAAGCACATCTCCACCATTCCCACGATATCACACATCACCAAACACATCCCTCTATCGGCTCCGTAGTCTTGAGCAGCGAGCACCGTTAGCAAACAACTGCAGTAGTGAAACCACGATGGAGTCAGCAGTACGTCCCAGCAGCCATCTGTGTCTCCCCCATTCACAACGTGGGTGCAGTCAAGAAGTCTGTCTCCAAGCCAGACGAAACAGGGCGGAGGGGAGAGCATTTTCAGTATTGCAGGTGTCCAGCATTCGATGAATAATGAAGCCACACATGTAAAGTCACGTGCACGTGTACGTACGCTCCGTGTTGTCGCCTAATGGGGCCACAAAAGAGAGGGAGCGAAGGGAGTGAACCAAACTGTAGCAGAGTGGCGAAGGTTTATCTAGAAACACCATCAATTCATGTAATGTAATTTAGCTGCACGATATTGTGCTTAATATTCTGGCGTGGTGCTAAGCTAGACCTGAAGGCGGATTGAGCATCACGCAAACCAATGGCAGCCAAAACCGGGCAGCAGGACCCTGGGTAATTATCTGAATACCGCAGGCAGATAGGCACCTCGAAGACTAATGGTACCCACAGCATCATCGTGAGATGCATTGCTCAAGGCAGATGAGCCTCAAGTAGACCAATTGCGTCTATAAACACTGGGCTCGCAGCTCTGTGTGTGGGGGCACGGATACCTACTGGCAGTCATCGAATTACGAACGTCTGACTTAAGAACATCCGCACTTTCGAATGAGCTTTCGTGAGATTTTGTGCTGGCCACCCACCCCCTCGTGTACCGTTGCGGCCTTCATAGGTGCTCGATAACAGCACTTGCCCCGACAGTCTGTTAAGTCTACACGGGGGATCTTTGTCGTTGGTGTGTGTGTGCGTGCGTGTGTGCTTCTGTGTGTGTGTGCAGATGTGGCCGGACCTGATCCCACCCCTTCTAACAAAAAAAACAGCGGTTGTGGTAAGATAATATAAAACCGATTCATAGTCGAGGTATTTTTGGGTTAGATCGCATAAATATAAGTGTGTCGTTAAACCTGCCACCACCCGACACAGCCAATGAGTATGGTTTGTCATGTAAACCGAACATGCCAATTCGTTACGGGTACAGCACACCGGTGTGTTGGAGAGCAAATCCACAACATTTACAATTTGAGTAACGTGACGTTACGCCAGTAATGACAACTGGCATCATCAGGCGACAGCCAGATTTGTGAAGGATCCTCCTGCTGTTTCGTTCTCAGGGTCGAACGTTACCTTGCAGTCAAAAACCTCCAGGAAGTGCCCTGGAGGTTCTTGAGACATACTTACAGATTAAGGTCTCTATATAAATTACATATTTATCACAGTATTCCATGCAAATGTGCACTATTTTTTATTCATGACTTTAGCAATGCTTCCATATGAACATTTAAATACAGTACATTGTTGTGTTCCGAATTTCGAACCGTTTCACTGATGAATGAGTCTCAGGAACGGAACCCCTTCGTAAGTCAGGGACTACCAGTACCATTCTTCTGATGCTGTAAAGGGCCAAGGACGATATTTTTGGGCTGTCAAGCCAACTTGCCAATTGTCATTAAAGTATCAATTCTTGGCCAAGGTAGGCCTCTGCAGGATGTATTTGATATCAGTATTTGCACTCTCAATGTACTATGCAAACCATATATATGTTTCTGAATTATGATTGTGTAATCACAGGCCCTGAAATGGCATGCAGTGCTCTTAATCTCCACCCTGGCTGCATTACTCCATTCGTCATCTTCCTCTACATTCTAGTCCAGTCGGGTTAGCTGGCTGCAGCAACTCCTGCATTGCAAGGTCAGCAAAGATTACCGACTGTGCTGCTCGGTATGTGTGTCCATAAATGTGTCTTGATATGCATTTCCAAGTGTCCAGATTACATTTTTATATACTCTGAGAAGACGAAACAACATTTCAATATACAATTGTGATCCTACGTCACAGAGATACAATAACAGAATGTTCCAAATGAATACATTATTTTACTCTTTTGACCCACCACCATTAATTTGAAAAGTTAACAAACTCACGATCACACAAACCATTTCGCAATATAATTATGCATTCCGTGTGCATAAAGGCACAGTGTGGATATCAATAATTGATGGCAGTGTGGAATGTAAAGCTCAGATGACTTCATGGGTGGGATAACATCTAAGCCTGGTTCACGTACTGATACATCCACGGTGGCAGCTCAAACATAACGGGTACGGAGGATTAAAACTGGTACCTCAATTTGAGACCGACAATTCATGAGCTTAGGGCGGACGTTTGTCAAACCTCATCGGCCCGTGGACCACTCAGCACCACTCAGCGCCACCACACGTGGTGACGAAACGCATTCACTTCTCTCTCTAAATACCAGTCATACAAAATCATTCACATTACTGGAACATGAAAAAAAATGTAACGCAGTTATTATTTGTTTTTTTAGGGTAGTTTAATCAGGGTAGTTTACGTAACTTCATTATTGGGGGTATAACGGTGATCTGAAACAAATTGACTTGGCTCCTCCTGAAGCAGTCGAATGAATATAAATCTTTAATTAATATAAAATCTCGACACCAATTTGTAATCTGTTGCCATCTCCAACAATGACATACGAAAGAAGAATGGAGTATAACACAACAGCTGTCCACCCCACCCTTTACCATGTAGCTCATGCCTGAGCACAATCTGTTACGAGTTTTAGGATGCTTTCAGCTCAGGTCATGTGTAGCGTTATACCTCCACCACGCAGCTCAATGTGCCTGTGGTCAAGGGCCAGCGACCCTTGAACCCAACTCAATTACGATAAGAAACAAAGCCAGGCCTCGAAGGGACGGATCAAAATAGAAATGACTACGAAACAGGGAACTGCGAATCATAGAGGTCAACATCCGTAGCCTGAGATCCAGCATCAGAGAACTCGCTTACTTATGCAAGGAGGAGCCCACAATTGCCATCGTGGTGTAAATATTCCTGGACCCAACTGTTCAAGACGGAGTGGACTGCATTGCAATAACCAGTTACACCACGTGCTGTTGAAGAGATAGAGCTGCTTCATCTGGAGGGGGCACTGCAGTGTACTTCCTACAAGGAATTGCCATCCATCATGACTACCAATGAGATCCAACAGACATGGAATTTATGTGACTCACAGAGTGCCCTTACGTTCCCAGAAGCTACTCATCGGAGCTGTGCACAGACCACCCAGTGCAAACAATGACATATTTGACGACCTGAACACTGAAACTCTGTCAAAAATGACAGAGTTTGATGCATATTCCATCATGCTGGTGGGAGACCTCAATGTCCATCATGAAGACTAGCCAGGTAGCCAAACAACAGACTCAGCTGGCCACCAAGCTCTCTGGCTTGCGAGCTGTAGGCAGGACCGGATTAAGATGTTGTAGACCCCTGGGCTATAGGTCCTGTGAGGCCCCCAGTAATATTTCAAAAGGAAGCAGGCAAACGGGACGATAGTTGGAGATGCGGTTGGCATCGAGGGATGGTCTATTAACGAGAGGGGTGATGATGGCCGAATTTCAAGGCACCGGAGGATAGAAAAGAATTGAAAAGGGAGAGTAAGGAGGGAAGGACAGAAGTAAGAAGGGAAACAGGGATAGGGTCAAGGGGTGAGGTGGAGAGATGGACTTTGTAGATGGTAACAGAGAGAAGTTCCTCCACACTCACGGGTGGGGGGGGGGGGGGGGGGAGTCGCTGAGGGCAGGCGGAGTGGGGAGCTGGTCGGGGGCTGAGGACAGACGGGGCTGAGTGGGGGACGGGGAAACTGGGGAAGAGGAACGAATCGCATTCGTTTTGGAAGTGAAGAAGAGGGCAAAGTGAGCATGGGATGAAACAGAAGTATTCTGTGAGACTTTCGTCACAGAAAGGCCGTCTCCAAGATGCAAAAGGTCCGGCCCCAAACATCTAGCCAAGCAATCTCTGCTCAATTGAGAACATCACCGTCAAGCCCAAAGACACCAATAGGCTGCTGAAGCGACTTTGAAGAGAGATATAACGTTGAGCTGTGAGGGTATTGAATGTAACGGGATGCGTGTTCTATTTTGCAGGGAATGATGGAACGCACGCACGAGTTGAAAATGGCACTGGTTTATACAGCATTGAAGTAAACACACACACACACCATAGGTATGCAGCACACAGGTCACGTATGCAGTCACCACGTGACCCACCACACACATATTAGTATTTTGCTATCGAAAATTTGTGTATTTTTATACCTCCGTTGTACCGCAGTGTGTCGCAGCGTGAAAGTTGCTTCACGGGCCAATGCACATGAACACCCTACACACTACACCATGAACACCCTATACGCTGCACCATGAACACCCTACACACTGCACCATGAACACCCTACACACTACACCATGAACACCCTACACACTGCACCATGAACACCCTACACACTACACATGAACACCCTACACGCTGCACCATGAACACCCTACACGCTGCACCATGATCACCTTGCACCACAAGCAGCCTACAACATGCAGGAACCGGACTGAGAATCCTGATACTCGGACTACAACCCCACACACCTAGGCTCTCTGGAGAGACGCAGTCTCGACGTCGTCCTATCATTGCATGCTGCTTCCTCTATGTATTCCCGCATTGGTTCTTCCACTGGCTCTCACGCCGCTTGCTATAATCTTGTAGCAATAGTGCAGCTAGAGTGACATCGCTATTGAATAAATGCGGGGTTTCATTGAGACGCAAAACAATGTTGCGGCACCTGCATCTTGAACATGCCGACTTTGCTTAAACTTCGAAGTAAATCACCTCTCTCTGCCTCAACGCTTGAGGAGGAAGTCACTGTCACGTGTTGACTACGGTGTACACGTGACGTTAAAAGATCTCTGCATTTTCACGATGACTTCATAATTCTTAGGTCTTTTGCTGCCATGTTATTTTTTACACTGCAATGGTTTTGTAACGGACACTGCTGCCGAATTTTTGGGACCCCATTGAACCATCGTATGTACCTAACACAATCTCTTTTATGGCTTTAATACTATCTCAAGTTGCCAACCGACACGAATGCAAATGTATATCCACATCATCGGTACCAAAGTTACATGAATCCGTCTGAATTATATGCTTGCGACAATGGAACCTAACTACAGAAACGAATCCCTATAAAGCTTAACATTTTGTATCTTTAGTTATTGAATCAATTTGAGGGTTGTGTTCACCTATGCTTATCACTGAAATTCGCTTTTGTTTGTAATAAAAACCAACGTATCCAATATCTTACAGGAGTTGCTTAAAGTCTGTGTGTTGATGAGTGAGGTCGTCTGAACGACGTTGTCGATTTACGTGTAAACGTCGATCTCGTTCCACGCTGCACGTGCCCGACGATTGTTTAACATGTCCCACGTGACGCGCCAAACAAACGACGCTGTCCACGTCACGTGGGACCACGTGCTCACCCACGCGCGGACCACGTGCACACCCACGCGCGGACCACGTGCTCACCCAGGCGCGGACCACGTGTAGACACCAGAAGTCGCAACCCGGTTTTGATTCCTTACCCGTACCAGGCCGCACCAGGATCGCAAACGGGTACCCGTACCCGGCCGTACCTGTACCCTACCCATACCCGGCCAGGTACGGGTAGGGTACGGGTATTGGGTACCTGATTGCGACCTCTGGGTTGAAGCCATTTTGCAGGCGCGGGTGGGTTGATTCTAGGAATTTGAATTGTGAGAAGAGACAAGAGGTTGGGAAATGAGTGACAAACAGTTACTCACCAGTGACTCACGGTTTACCCGTACCCATACCCGGCCGCACCAGGGTCGCAAACGGGTACCCGTACCCGGCTGGGTACGGGTAGCCGGGTATCGGGTAGGGTACGGGTATCGGGTACCCGGTTGCGACCTCTGGTAGACACACGCACACACCGAGACCTCGTTCTTTATTTTAATCGGCGCTGTTCGCACAAACGGCGCGTCACGTTAGACTGATTAACAATCATCGGACGCGTGCAGCGTGGAACGAGTTGATTTGAATGAGAGGAGAACATCGGTTAACGTGGAGTTTGGGAAACTCTGCACTCGAGCTGCAAACCCCGAACTCGAATATCGGTGGAGTTGTCCAACAAAGAGTCGCTCCACCCGAGTCGGCCACGTCTTCACGGCCTCTCACCACGACGACTTAGGGGCCGTCCATAATTGACGTCACGCGATTTTGGACGATTTTTGACCCCCCTCAAATATGACGTCACAAAGCTCTGCCCCCCAAAAAAATATAAAACGTGCTTCAAATCGCTTTAAACTATTCTCATTGTAGTGCGTATTTAATGTGGCGCTGCACTCTGATGTTGTAGGAGAAAACATTTATTAAGAAGCCTATTTAATTAAGTAGAACGTGTTGTCTATATTTATTTAAAGTTGCGCATTTTGATGTGACGTCAAATTTCTCACCCCCCCCCCCTCTCGTCACACATCGTCACAAATGTCTAACCACCCCCCCCCCCCATGTGCGTGACGTCATTTATGGACGACCCCTTAACACAACTTCGCAGGCACTCCCGTCTGCCTCTTGATACGCGCACCTGAATTCAAGGACCGTGCACTCAAGAAAGCGTTGTTCCAGTGACTCGCGATTAGCACGGTTGGCCTACGTACGGTGTGAAAGAGGTTCAACGTAAATACGAATGTGGCATTGCAGAGTCGAGATGAGAACGAGTCGGGGAGAATCGGCGCGCCAGCGTATCCGGCGTCGATAGTTACATTGACTCGGATTATTCAATTCAATCTCTCGAATTTTCTAACTCGCCTGGTACAATTTAAACGTCGTGACGTGGGTGACACCAGCCAGGAGCTTCCGTGCCACCCGTAGAGTTTGCTGCGATGTGATTTTTTTATGACACAATACGATTAAAATGTGTCCGATGCGTGTCCCCGTGTCTCTGTGTGTGCGTGTCCCCGTGTGTCTGTGTGTCCCAGTGTCTTTACGTGCCTCTGTGTGTCCCCGTGTCTCCACGTGTCTCTGTGTCCCCGTGTTTCTGCGTGTCCCCGTGTCTCTGTGTGTTTGCGTGTCCCCGTGTCTTCATGTGTCTCTGTGTGTCCCCGTGTCTCCACGTGTCTCTGTGCGTGTCCCCGTGGTCTCCACGCGTCTCTGTGTCTCTGTGTGTCCCCGTGTCTCCACATGTCTCTGCGTGTCCACGTGTCTCCACGCGTCTCTGTGGTGTGTGCGTGTCCCCGTGTCTCCATGTGTCTCTGTGTGTCCCGTGTCTCCACGTGTCTCTGCGTGTCCCCGTGTCTCCACGTGTCTCTGTCCCCGTGTCTCCACATGTCTCTGTCCCCGTGTCTCCACATGTCTCTGTGGTCCCCGTGTCTCCACGTGTCTCTGTGTGTCCCCGTGTCTCCACGGTCTCTGCGTGTCCCGTGTCTCCACGTGTCTCTGTCCCCGTGTCCTCCACCATGTCTCTGTCCCCGTGTCTCCACATGTCTCTGTGTGTCCCCGTGTCTCCAGTGTCTCTGTGTGTCCCCGTGTCTCCACGTGTCCTCTGTGCTATGTGTGTCTTTACGTGTCCCTATGTCCTTAGCACTTCTCCCGTGTCTTCTTCATGCTGCCCATTGTCTCTGTGTGTCCCCGAGTCTATCTCTGTGTATCTGCGTGTCGCTATGTGTCTCCCCGTGTCTCCACGTGTCTCTACGTGTCTCACTGTGTCTCGGCGTGTCTTTGTGTCTCCCCGTGTCTCCCCATGTATCTGTGTGTCTCCGCGTCTCTATGTGTGTCTCTGTGTGTCTCCGCGTGTCTCCCCATGTCTCTGTGTGTCTCCCCGTGTCTCTGTCTCCCGTGTCTCTGTGTCTCTGTGTGTCTCCGCGTGTTTCCCCATGTCTGTGTCTCTGTGTGTCTCTCTGTGTCTCCCCCATGTCTCTGTGCGTCTCCCCATGTATCTCTGTGTCTCCCCATGTCTCTGTGTGTCTCTCTGTGTCTCTGTGTGTATCTGTGTCTCCCCATGTCCCTCTGTGTCTCCCCATGTTTCTCTGTGTGTCTCCCTATGCATCTGTGTGTCTCTCTGTGTCTCTGTGTGTCTCCGTGTGTCTCCCATGTCTCTGTGTCTCTGTGTGTCTCTCTGTGTCTCCCCATGTCTCTGTGTGTCTCTCTGTGTGTCTCTGTGTGTATCTGTGTCTCCCCATGTCCCTCTGTGCTCCCCAATGTCTCTGTGTATCTGTGTGTCCTCTGTGTCTCCCCATGTCTATGTGTGTCCTCCCCATGTCTCTGTGTCCCTCTGTGTCTCCCCCCATGTGTCTCTGTGTCTCCCCATGTGTCTCTGTGTGTCTCTCTGTGTCTCTGTGTCTCCCCCCAAGTGTCTCTGTGTGTCTCCGCGTGTCTCCCTCCCCCCCGACCCGTGTCTCTGGGCGGGGTCTGTGGCTCCTGGCAACGGCGTCGCGTCCCCAGTGACCTCGGCAGCCGGCACCCCCACGACAACCTCCTCGCTCTCTCTCCTCTCTCTCTCCTCGTCTGTCTCCGTCTCTCTGTCTCTCTGTGTCCGTGCCATGGAGTCCCTCCACGCGGACGAGTCGGCCCCACGGGAGGAGGCGGCCTTGCCCCGCACCTGGTTCCATCCCGGCACCGCGAGCGACGACGCGGGCCCCGGCTGGGCTGCGCAGACTGCGGCGGGGCTGCGAGACGCGGCGGTCGCCATGGAGGAGTGGAGCCTCCACAACCAGACGAGGTGGGACACGGGGGTGGGGCAGGTGGGACACGGGGGTGGGACACGGGTGGGACAGGGGAGACGGGTGGGACACAGGTGGGACACAGGTGGGACAGGTGAGACACGGTGGTGGGGCAGGTGGGGACACGGGTGGGACAGGGGAGACACGGGGACAGGTGAGACACGGGTGGGACACAGTGGGACACTGGTGGGGGCAGGTGGGACACGGGAGGGACAGGTGAGCCACGGGTGGGACAGGTGGGACACGGGTGGAACAGGTGGGACACGGGTGGGACAGGTGGGACAGGTGGGACACGGGTGGGACAGGGGAGACACGGGTGGGACAGGTGGGACAGGTGGGACACTGGTGGGGCAGGTGGGACACGGGTGGGACAGGGGAGACACGGGTGGGACAGGTGGGGCACGGGTGGGACACAGGTGGGACACTGGTGGGGCAGGTGGGACACGGGTGGGGCAGGTGGGACACGGGTGGGACAGGTGAGACACGGGTGGAACAGGTGAGACACGGGTGGGACCACAGGTGGGACACTGGTGGGGCAGGTGGGACACGGGTGGGACAGGTGAGACACGGGTGGGACAGGTGGGACACGGGTGGAACAGGTGGGACACGGGTGGGACAGGTGGGACAGGTGGGACACGGGTGGGACAGGGGAGACACGGGTGGGACAGGTGGGACAGGTGGGACACGGTGGGACAGGTGGGATAGGTGGGACACTGGTGGGGCAGGTGGGACACGGGTGGGACAGGGGAGACACGGGTGGGACAGGTGGGACACAGGTGGGACAGGGGAGACACGGGTGGGACAGGTGGGACACGGGTGGGACAGGTGGGACACGGGTGGGGCAGCTGAGACACGGGTGGGAGAGGTGAGACCCCCGGTGGGGCAGGCGATCTAATCCAAAAATATTGTATGATAGTCTTTTGAATCTATACGGGGAGTCTTCGGTCTTTGAGTAACACCACCACCACTGGCAGAGTGTATCCAAAACCCGCCCTCTAACTCGGTCCCCAATACACGGATTTTGTGCAGCGTGTTTAGTTTGTTGTCCTTCCACCCCCCCCCCACCTCTCGGATGAGCCCAGGTGGGTATCGTGACGTGCGAGGAGGGAAGTGGAGCGCACGGCACGTTGTGTGCATCGCTCCGTTCGGCCATCGTGCTGTCAGCTGACTGAAGGCGCTCGACAAATATAAATTCAGAATCGATTTGCACCATAAGTAAACAAAAGTTAGTCGTGAATTTCATCGTGACCTTAATAGAGGATGAATCATTAACGCGTGCAGGGTGGACAATCATTCCACGATGCTTAATAATTAACCAGCGTCTCGCTGCCCCTGTATTGATTGTGCAGGTACCCGTATCCCTGTGAATTAATGTGTGGCACATGCGCTGCCACACGTTCTTGCATGCGCTCATGTTTCTACACGCTCGTGTGTGTGTATGGACATGTGCTGACATGAGTGTACACCAATGGGGTGTCTGTGTGTCTTTGTGTGCGTGCATTGTGCTTCATAGGTGCTCGCTAACAGCACTCACCCCCAACAATATGTTGAAG